GGTGGTGGTGGTGGTGGTGGTAGCAGTAGTGGTTGTAGTAGTTGTAGTAGTAGCAGCAGCAGCAGCAGCAGGAGTAGTAGTAGTAGTAGTAGTAGTAGTAGCAGCAGCAGCAGCAGTTGTAGTAGAAGAGGCAATAGTTAGAGCAGAAGCACCAGGAGTACTGGCAGTAATAGTCGTCATTGTCGGTCGTCGTCGCAACGGCAATAGTGGTAGCAGTGGTGGTGGTTGTCGTGGTGGTGGTTGTGGTGGTGGTGGTGGTAATAGGGAGGCGGTTGTGGTGGTGGTAGTAACAGTAGCAGTAAGCAGTAAGCAGTAACTTTAGCAGTAGCAGTAGCAGTAGCAGTAGCAGTCGTCGTCGTCGTCGTCGTCGTCGCAATGGTGGTGATAGCGCCATTGCCATCACTATGGTCGAAGTTAAAGTTACTAGTCATCATTGGTGCGATCGAGTTCTGAACTGCAGGTGTTGTCAGCGCAGTTCTACTTCCAGAGCCCCTGTCCTCGACGGCTCCTGGTTGCCATACGTTGCGTGTCGAGCTCCACACATCGATGAGATCGCCTGGAGACGATTGTCAGGGTGGCTCGACCTTTGCGGCCTTTGGGTTTGGAGCTTCGCTGTTGGAGGCTCAAGGCTTAGGCTTTTCAGGAGCTAGGCCCTTAGGCTTTGGCTTTGGCCGGGGAAAGGCATCGTGTTTGGGGTCTTGGATATGAGCAGAGCCAAACACGCAAATGATCTGTGTGATGACGATGATGAGCGTACCGTCGCCCGTGACGACTGTGGTTGTTCTTGGCATGACACCACTGACCAAAAGACTGCCTTCTTTCTCTGGTGAGCACGGTACGGTTTCTCGAACTGCACAGATATGGCCATCACGGCTTCCACTTAGGAGCAGCAGCCAAGCATCGTGCCATCAGTCGAAGGACAGCAGTCGCCACTGAGTCCTGCATTAACACAAGCCATATGGGCGTCACATTGAGGTACTATTTTGAGGCACCGGAAGGCCTCGCACACCGCCTGGCGGGATTCTGACGCAGCTGGTGTAGAAGTTGCAGTTCACGGCCATTGTGTATATTGTCGTGGTCTTGCTCTGTGGTATACACCGATTGCGGAAGCACCGGCCATCTGCCAAGAATGGCAAGCCTTGTGGGCACTCGGTGGAGTTCTGGGCCTCGACTGCGTCCTCAATCACCTCGGAATCGGAAGCCTCTGAGGCGGCAGTCTCAGCAGCTTCTACAGCATCTTCTTCAAGCAATCTCATGCTGTAGTCGTAGTAGTTGCCAGGGCCGCGATAGTAGCTGTATTTTTTTCGCATGTAGTCATCGATGGAACAGCCCGAGAAGGAGGAGCAAGGGGCCATGGAGTAGAACACGGCCTTGGGCCCGGGGCATTTGTTCCGCCAGCAATAGTCGGTCATTGGCGGGCCGGGAACCATGCCTTCTGGGCAGAGTCCCTCCATCTTCCTCACCATTCTTTCTTCGAAGTCTTGGGAGTCCTTCGAGTGCTGTGCGCTGCGAAGCTGAAGTGCGTTGAGTGCGCAGTCGCCGCTGTTGCACTCCCCGTCTAGAGCCAGTGCGTCTGCTGCATTGGCATCAGAAGCCCCGGCTACAGCGACCAGGACGAAAAAGGCGAAGGCCGCCAAGCCCTTTGTCATGGCTGGGGGTCCACACGCGGAAAAGGATGGACAAAGCTTTGAGCCAAAGAGTCTCCGCCAGTCGAACACGACAATCTTGCCGAGGCAGAAGACAACTCAGCAAAACCGTACTTCTTTGTCGAGAGAACGAACCCGTATAAGGTTGAGCATAACGGCACTACTTTACCACACGGACTGACTGGTTAGCCGCCTCCCAAGCCAGTTCTGGTCTTGCAAACAGTAATACCTTCAGTTACAGGTGGCTACAGCAGAAACGGTATGTGTTGAACAGTACATCAACATGACACTCACCATCTGCAAAGCCAGCACTCTTCTTGCATCATGATCTGGCATGTCGTTCAACAACAACACTCGCTGGAAGATCGCTAGCTAGATGCTCCACACAGACGAAGCCACAATCATGAGTGAGGCTTGTGTAGGCCTGCGTACTACGTTCTGAAACCAGCAAGTCAGAGTCACAGCCAAGCGTGCACGACAGAAGATGGATCACCATGCAGCTTTTAACTAACGTGGACTTTTCCCGAAGGACCAGCGTCGTACCGGTCACCACGTACAACACACCTTGCTGAGACAACTGACGTTAAATCATGAGCTTCCAGGAAGCCCGGCAAGAAAAGACAAAACGCACCAAGTCACCTCAAGGACACCCAACATCTACCTGTCATCACAAAGTCCCAACCCCAAGACCGTGCACCTAAACCTTGAAACCCCAAAGGCGCTATGCCTTCGTATTCCTCAACCCCGGCAAATATCCCTATAATCCCAAAACCAAAGGCAACACCCCAAACACAACCCCAACCCACTACCCCCAAAATCCATCCTAGAACCCCCCCTCCCGCCGACGAACATAGCACCACTCAACCTACAATCCCGTAAAGAAAGCTTTAAATGCACCTTCTCGGAAAGCGGGCGTGCTGGGAGAGGAGCCAAAGGAGTCGGGCGAGGCAAGCCTCAGTTTCAGGGGTTTTAGGTTTAGTGCTTTACGGTAAGGGGGCTTATGCGTTTAATGTAAACAGGGTTTGAGGTAAAGGGGATTAGGGGGTTGAGCGGTTAAGGGTTCAAGGTACAGGGTATATATATATATATAATATACACATACATGTGTGCATCTCTGTCCATATATTATGTATGTACACCTGGACTAACGCGCTCTGGTAGTTTCTGGGAACCTAACCTAAGAAGCCAGACACGGGAAGGAAGCCAATGAAACCAATACTCTTAAACTCTTTAACCCTAAACCCCTAAGCCCACAAGCCCTAAACCCTAAACTCTGTGACCCTGAACCCCATGAACCCCAAAGCCTAAACCCTACAACCCTGAACCCCACAAGCCCTAAACCCTACAACCCTGAACCCCATAAACCCTAACCCCACAAGCCCTAAACCCTTAAGCACTGCACCCTTAAATCCTCAACCCATGAAAGCCCGAGCTTTGGAGTATACCCTAAAGCCTCAAACACGCTAACACCCCTAAACCCCTGAAGCCCCTCTGAACCCGTAAACCCTTTACAACCTTACTATAGGAACCTGATGAAGGAAACCCCTGGGTCTTTATTAAGGGTGCTTGATTATGAAACTTTATATATATATATATATACACACACACATATTTACTTATTTATTTGTTTATTTATTTTGGGCGGGGCGGGTTATAGGGCCAGGGGGTTTCTTAATCAGGTTCCTACCATTACACCACAAGCCTAGGGGCCTTGAACATTAGAATAGGTTTTGGGGTATCTTATAGTATAACTATAATAAAGAACCCCCCAAAACCCCATTCTAATTATTAAGGCCCCTACATTAAACTGACAAAACCTGAGAGCTTTCAGCCTCAGGGGCTCTAGAGCTGACTTTCCCGGGATCGTCTCCTCATCACTGCTCATCACCTGCGCCTGACACTGCTTGGCCTTTACAAGAGGCTTTAGAAGGGCTTCGATAGAGGTGTTGTGGGGGCGGGGGGGTTGGTAGGGTATTTTTGGGGGTGTTATAGCCCTAAATAGTAGGATCCTTTTTGTTTTAGTGCCCCTGGACGATAAGGCACCGCCAATTTGATTCAGTTCTTATAGGTCCGCCATACAGACGTCTTTTTGCATGGTGAGGGTGCATGCACCCTACACCCACACACGCCCTTTAAGCCCTTAGCTCTGAACCGTATGACCTCTTCTGGGTTCTCGTTAAGCGATTTAGTCTAAGTTACCATAATAGGGAAACCATATCATTTACTATAGATCCCTATTATGGTAACGTAAATTAAATCCCTCAACAAGAACCCAGCCTATGACCTCTTGCGCAAAGTCTTGCAAGGGCTTCATCATGCAGGGCTTGTGCGGTGTTCAGACGGGATTTATGAATATGGCGCTTAAGACTACTGCTGGTGACATTATCGTAATCAGCACTTGTTGTCATTGCTGCTGGTAAGGCTTAGGGCTCAGGGATTAAGGTTTAGGGTTTAGGGCTAAAGTTTAGGGGGTTGGGGTTTAGGGTATGAAATATTTCTTGCAGTGATGACATCTAGGCATGGAAGAGTCCCGGGCAAGGGCTCCAGAACTCTCTTAGCCCACAGTCGCAGCAAGCCAGACGTATATAGGGGCCTTCATAAATCGAATGGGGTTTTGGGGTACATGAGAGCGTTAGGTTTAAGGGAACTATAAGGAACAACTTTTCGTACTTATTTCACCCATCTATATGCCAGCGCGAGTTTCTAAACCATAATCCCTAAAACTCGAAACCTCAACCCTCCAAACCCTGTATCCCAAACCGTCAAACGCTACATCCTGAACCCCTTACCTCCTAAATCTCAAGCCCCTGTAAATCCCGAAAAACTCCACTACCCCCCCCCCCCCATAGACCCAACAGGTACTTTAAGGGTTCCTTTAAGGGTCCTATGAGTTTCCTTTAAAGGTTCCTTTAAAGGTACTTTAAGGGTATGAAGGTTTAGGGCTTAGGGCAGAATTTTCGGCCTTTCCCTCAGAATGGCCATGGACAGCCAAACGCGTGGCTTCCTGGACTTTCGGATCATAGCGGCTTAAGCCACCCAAATTGGTGATTTTCGGAGCTTTCGGGTTCAGAGTTTTAGGGTTTTTAGGCATAAAGAGTTTTAGGGCCTGGGGTTTAGGGCAGTTTGGGGCTCAGGGCAGTTTGGGGCTTCAGAGTTTGAGGGTTGAAGATTTCAAGGGCGTGGGTCTCAAGAGCTAAAACCCTGGCGCGAAGAGATGTCCCCAAGACACGGGATTGCCCGTCCTGGCAGCTGTAGGAATGAAGATTCGGAAGAGATGCCCTGCGGGGTCCTGAGAGAGTTCAGGGAATTCTTGGGGCCCCTGTTTCGGTGAATTTGCGCAACATGTTTCACAAGGCAAGATGTTGAGGGGATAGCTTTTTCGACCCAGAGAGGCCCAGGGGAGACTCTATATCCATCTTAACCTACTAAACCCTTCTTTACCTATGAACTCCATAATATCAGGGTTTCATAAACTCCTGGCATCCGTGAGCCCCCGCGTCGGGTTATGTGAGACTTCGGAACTTCCAGACCGCTCTGGGCACAGAAACCCCGAGTTCCGAGTTGTGAGAACTGTGAGCCTGATAGCCGGCATAGAACCATAATAGTAACCCTTATAGTAGCCCGAAGCCCAGTGGGAACCCCATTCTAACTAGAAAGGCTCTACATCAAAATAGAGCCCCTCCGTATAATAACCCTTTAAGGGAACCCTACTCCAACTATTTAAGGCCCCCACATCTGCACCGAAGCCCCTGCACGCTTTTGGGCCCTCAGCAGATTCTTGCTCGAGAACTCGACTTTCAACTCCCGCCATAAGATAGGGACAATGAGTTGAGACCCCTAAACCCTAAACCCCTAAACCCCAAAACCCTAAACAGTGCCTGAAAGCATCCCCTCGGCCTGCACAACCCAAGAAGGTTCTGCTCTTCAAGCTAACACAAGATAAGCCCCAAGGCCTCCTTCCGAGCCCCCGAAACTCCATAATACGGGTAGCTCTCTATGTTAGGGTCCCTTTTAGGTTCTCTTTTCTCTCAGATGAGCCCTGAAACGCGAAACACAACAAACAAATAGGCTGCGAAAGCCAACAGACCCAGTATGAACAAGACATGGACACATAACACAGCCTGACGACACCCTTGAATCAGAATTGCTGAGGAATTCGGCTTGCGAAACCCGCTCCGTGAAGCCCGGCCTGGTGCATTTGGCTCGAAAGGTCCTCCAAAGGCAAGTAGTCAAGCTAAGCTTGTAAACGACTACGACGACTACGACGATTGCTCGTTTCTATTGCTACTGCTAGTGATACTACCGCTACGACAAAGTCTTCTACTCCCTCTGCAACTGCTGCCCGCCAGAAGAAACCCCAAGAGCTTCAACTCAGAAGTCCTAGAGCCGGACTATTTAGTTCCTAATGTAGGGGGCCTAGATAATTACCTATACTACTTTCGGGGTTCCTTATTATACTTACAATATAACGGGCCCCAAAACCCTATTCTAGCTATTAAGGCCCCTACATTACTCCCTAGGCCCTAGGCCTGAAACCCAAAAACTGGAACCAGGATCACCCTGCCTGGCTGCAAAGGAAACGGCAAGAAGCTCGTGGCCAGCGGTCGGGAACCACCTCCGGGAGGGCTTTTGGGGTTCTGCGGCTCAGGGCCCGGAATCTTTGGGTTTTAGGGTTCAGGGCGTACGGCTTTAGGGGTTCTAGGTTGTAAGTTTTGCACAGCAAGATCTTCCAACATGCCATAACAATTTGGGAACATCCCAAAAGCGATTTAATAAGATCCGAATTCAATCGTGACTCGAAAATAAGGGATGCAGACGGCCCGTAAAAGACAGAAGCCTCATTTTTCGGACCCCTACATAAGATACCGTCGCCTCAGAGATATTCCACGAATACAGAGCCTATGTAGTTGGATCATCCGCAAAAATTAGGAATGCTGCGGTCCTCAATGAATATGCATCTCTGTAGGATCATAAGGGATATAAAGTCTCCCAGAGTGCCACTT